GTATTATTACACACACTCAGCTTTCTCCACAATTTCACATTGCTGTGATGTAAAGGGTCCAATTTAATTGTGGAAAGATCATTACACCCAACTCTTGAATGCATGGCAAAAGAAATCAGTTGTATCCCACAAGAGTGTATATGAAGATTTGATCGCTCAACCAATATAGCAAGGTTACCGTTAAGTTTTTTTTTATATAAAACCCTTTCAACCGGTCTGAATTGATACCCGATGTAACAACAGAAGCAGTCGGAGTACTTTTCATAATGATTCATATCAAGTTAAGGCAGCCATTTCAACATTTCTTTCAAGATTGCTTTATAAATCTTGAGATCATTTAAACAATCTTAATATTCTTCAAAGCATCTTGAGATACTATGAAAAAATATCAAGATTCTTTGAAAAGATCTTGGAAAGATCTTGAGACCTTTTCATTTTCATCTCAAGATTTTATGAAAGATCTTGAGATTGTCATGAAAAATATCAAGATTTCGTATAAAATATTGAGATCTTTGGAACAAATCTTGAGATTTTTCAATTTTCAACAAAGCGTGAAGACCCCCGCTGGGGGTCATTATGATCCGCTATGTAACAGAGAAGTTTGTGACAAAAGATTGGATTTGTACCTCTAAGCTGTAAACGGTCAGAGGCATTAGTCCAAAGTGCTCTGCTCATTCCAATAATAATCTGCTCGGTGTTCATGGTACTCTCTACAATGGTGTATAGGTTGAAAAAGGCTAGAATTCCCAGCCCCGACGACTTTTTAGTCAGTGTCAGATGGTACTCTACAAAATGTCAGATGCCACTAAAAAAATCAGACAAACGCCCTTTCAAGACACAGACTTTTTTCTTGCAGGTTTACATGAGTGAGAACCCATGGAAGTGTAACTGTGACTTCTTGATGTCCTACAAGACCTTCCCAGCAGCCCTCACACGTTCCAATCCCTGCATGACTTGCGCGACCCCTCAAGAACACTATGGCCTACGAGTGTCGTCCATCACACTTGGTAAGAACTCATTTTTTTTACCTCCATGAAGATTAAGATATTGTTTTCTTATGTGCTACCTTGCGTGTAAATGCCTGTCCTTTGTGCTTAACACAATCCACACACAGGCATGAATGCCCGTCCTTTGTGCTTAACACAATCCACACACAGGCATACATGCCTGTCCTTGGTGCTGAACACCATCCACACACAGGCATACATGCCTGTCCTTGGTGCTGAACACCATCCACACACAGGCATACATGCCTGTCCTTGGTGCTTAACACCATCCACACACAGGCATACATGCCTGTCCTTGGTGCTGAACACCATCCACACAAAGGCATACATGCCTGTCCTTGGTGCTGAACACCATCCACACAAAGGCATACATGCCTGTCCTTGGTGCTGAACACCATCCACACACAGGCATACATGCCTGTCCTAGGTGTGTGTAACCATGTACCCATGCATGTGTTTGTGTGTGTCCGTGGTGTGTGTCTGTATTAAAAATAATGTGTTACAGATAATTTCTTTACAAGAGTAAAAAGCACTAAACGTTGTTAGTCTATACAGTTTGAAACAAGAATTTGGAGATCTCAGTCCTCCATGAAATATTTAGAGCTCTACTAAATGTTTTCTTGGATTTCTTTAATTTAATTCAATAGATAGAAGGTTGTAACTAGCATTATTTGTTTTAATTTATGGTTTTCTCTACTCAGTTGAAAAAATAGCAAGTACCAAGGTTAGCCACCAGGAGGCCCATATGGCCTTGACCTTTGTCTCTCTAAGGCCTGCCTACATACCAAAGATCATCACAATTCATAAAGGCATTCTAAATGTACATGTATGTGGCTAGTTCCGCACAAATGTGTGATAGACACATACGCACATATACAGACACACAAAGAGACAGACCAAAAACAATTATACCTCCATTTTTCATGGTGGTACTACAGGCTCAACTAGTATATAAAAGGTACTTTATCCCAATGACATACTAATGGTTGAGTTTCCTAACGGTTTGTTTCAGACTGCGCTGTGAGTTCCGGATCAGGAGAAACTGAAACGACAGAGAATGACAACGTCAACCAGAAGAATACAAAAAAGACAGGGTTTGTGAATCCGGAAACGGTACCCCACAAGGTGAAACACATGTACAACTCCGCAAAGCGTTCCGAGAACCACGAGAGGCTGGGACAAACAGTCAAACCGACCACGTGCACAATCTTGGACACTGGACGACTACACACTGACAGAGATGAAGTCTTTGAGTCACATTTTGGTCAAGGGAGTCAGCGGTTCTTGGGTACAGCAAAGCCAAACAATCTCCCAATGGGGTCCCAGAACATAGGGACGAATGCCAATCATCAGACCGAGTCGCTCTCTACTCGACCAATAAAATGGCTCAACGCAAAGCTGCCAAAGACGACGGGGACATTTGACGCTATTCACTCGTGTACTTTAGGTACATTAAACATCCTAAGCATATTTTCTTTATAAGTAGAGTTCGAGGAACACATGCCTTTGCCATGTAAAAAAGTGTTTTTTTAAGTGTCACTATTTTTAACCTTTTAAGTTAGTATGTTATGATGGTGTAGTCTTGTCAACAACAGGGGGCTAGTCCGTGTGTACTGTTTTGTTTTCAATCCCCACACTCTTCCTCGGTGAGTGTTAGGCAGAAAAAGCAGTATGTGCCATTCTTAAAGTCTTAGGTATGACCAGCCTGGATTTAAACTTACGACCTTCCGTGTACAAAGCGAGTATTCTTCCCGAACTTTAAGCCATTTTCATAACTTTCCTATTTCTTTTTCATTTCTTTCTGTTTTTACTTTTCTAAAAAAAAATTTCATTTTTTAAACTTTTTATTTCTAATTTTTTTTTTGCCATCTGAAGTAATCACTGCTGTCTTGGTGGCGCTGGTCGGAATTTCGCCGCTGATCATGGCACTACTGAAGCTCGTCCACACGAAGAAACCAAAGGCATCTAACGAAACCGAAGATGACGAGATACAACCCTATAGTACCATGTACGTAAACAAGTTTCCTAGCATGAAATCTTTAGCAAAAGCTTTACACTTGAAGAAAAAAAAATGAAACCTTTGGTTGGTTGGCTAAAGGAAGAGGGACACCATATGTTATGCACATAAATAAAATGATATGCCAAGGGTGTTAGATATGCTGACAATTGTATAAATCTTCATTCCTCTTTTTGTGAGTCGTCTTTCAAAGACAATTTAAACTCTACTACTGGGCAATACAATTCAAACTGTACTACTGGGCAATTCAAAGACAATTCAAACTTTACTACTGGACAATTCAAAGACAATTCAAACTCTACTACAACTGGACAATTCAAACACAATTCAAAGTCTACTACTGGACAATTCAAAGAAAAGTTTGGGGATCTTCAGAGGATGTCATCCATAAATTAAGTCAGTGTGGCCTGACCTGGATGTTTAAACCTTTATCAAAGTGTTTCTATAATCTACGTGTATTCTTATAATCTGATTACTAGGTACCTTTCAAACATCGCCGTGATGTCTCACTCTTCGTCTGCCAAACCGGTCCAGTTGGAGAACACTTACTCCCTGCCTGCCGACCACACCATCGTCCGGCACACATATGCCGAGCCTGACGACAGTCACTTCGGACTAAAGGCAGAAGTCACCGCCCTAGATGATGACCAGGTTGTAAGTGTGAACCTACGTGGTCCAGAACCAGTCTATGAAGAGGCTGTCCCAGTGAAGTCGGATGGGTTCCCGGTTGAGGAGACCGGACAGGGGCTGAACAAGGTAGGTACTAGGCGAGCTGACCACGGACGCGACACCTCCCCATCTCATTCAAGTCAATTCTTTATTATTATACCAGTATGAACCTTACAGACAAACAATATATAATGTTGCCTGAATGACATTGATATTTACAATATTAAAATAAACACATAACATTACATTTCGTTAGATACATATCTACACAAATATACACATACACAATATGTAATATGAACTGTACATCCCAGACATAACAAGTACCATTCAGTCTGATTGTAGAGTCTGATGGACTGATGTAGGAAAGAGTTCTGAAGTCTTTTTGTTCTGGCTGGGGGTGAACGTCTAGTAGCCGATGATCTAGAGACAGGACAAGGTCATGTAGGGTGTGGTCATCCTGTAGCATTTGTGTGAAGAGTTTTATGTCAATTTTACTCATGCAGACAACCGACATCCTCCAGGCCCGGGCTGCCATGAACCGTCAACCTGCAGATCAACCAGGCCAACCCGCCGCTCTACCTGCCGTTTACGAGGAGACACCTTACGAAGACGTCTGGAACTGCATCAGTACCGCCCAACGAGAGAAGGAGGGAACCCATGAGGCAGCCGGTCAGTATATGTACACACAAGGACGTTCTATCAAGATAGAACGTCCTTGGTACATGTACATGTATATTCATCTGTATAATCGCCTTGGCATAACACGCTAGCTTCACAGGCACGCGGCAGGGTGGCAGCTGGCTATATTGCACCGAACGACTTGTTCCACCTATCCTTTGCACATCTAACTCTAAACAAGAGTTCCGAGATCTCATACCTCCATGAAATATGGGCTTGATATGTAAATGTAAATTTCTTCTTTAATTACGCAAATGACCTCTGCATTAACATAATATATGCATCGTGATGTTAACTTTTGATTAACTTAAAGATGTCCCAAGTATGACATTCCCATCATTCACCATTGAGAAATCATAGATTTTTTGCATTAATTATGCAAATTAGGTCATCATTTGCATAATTAGTATCTGTTGATGTTCCATCTGCCATAGGTTACATACATTACATGTATGAAAGTTCTATAATGTAAAACACTGTAATTATAGAATTTCCTCATTAATTATGCAAATAAAGTCCTCATTTGCATAATTTGCAGTTAATTATGTACATCTCTCTGTCAGATACCTACACACCAAAAATGATGAAAATACGCTGTTCCTATCTGGACTTATTGGCTTTCAAAGATTTCGCCCGAAAGTCCCCTGCAGTTCCTGAACAAGCTGCTAGGGGGACCAAACCCACACCACTTATTCCTGAC